TATCCTCTAACCAATAAAATGGGCCAGGGCAGTGCCTTTATTAGCCAATGACCTTCCTCCATCATTTCCCCTTTTTCGGTTTAAACAAAAAAAAAAAAGGCTTTAACATAGCAAAATTACATATAACAAAACAGTTATCAAGTAAAAGTTACAATAATCTTTATCATAACTAAGGAAAACTATAACTAACTATTCTTAACTCCATCAAAGACTCCAGAAAGATATATTACCTAAGTAAACAAGAACTAAGAAACTTCAAACTCTAGAAATGACAAAGACATCTCGCTGCCTGGACAGTCACCCAAAGTTCTTTTGTACCGTTGGGGCATCCATCTTCAGCCTTCAGGCCCACGGTATCCAGCAGACATTTCCATAAAGCAGGAAAATTCAAAGTCAGTTCAGTCACTATCTGTTGTGTCCTGCAGAATGTCTCGCAGACTCTTTCAAAATGAATCAGGAACCCCGAAAGATCATCTCACCTTAGGCAAGTTCAGTAGTCCTCTCTCTGCGGGTTCTCTGTGTCCAGTTTATGCAATAGTCCAGGCAAGAGCAGTTTCTTGTCCAAATGGCTATCAAAACTCCATAACGAGCCTCTTCGATGCCCATCTTCCTCTTGAAATAGATTGGTGCTGCCAGGAGCAGAGTGTCTCATTGTCATGAAAAGTCCTCAGTTATTAAAACATTAAATGTCCTATTCTGTAATCTTTGAAAGACATGAAGAATGTCTATCTAAAATATATCTCTATATATCTAGAAAATCTAACTAACATGACTACAAACTTGACTATTATGATTATCTATTAACTACCTATATACATTACATTTTTAAATGAACTACACAATCACAATACCTTAATATCAGAAATACATATACATTTAACAAAATTGACCTTAAATCGCTATCAATAAAGCAAAATCTATACTAATGTAAATTATTCATATCTATATCATATCCCCCTTTAAATGTAAAAGAACATTTATAAACATTTTTTGGGAATTTGGGCGCAGTTATTTCTCTCCAAACTGCTTCCTGCTGAATGGGGGCGTCGTTAATTTGGTCTTTCATGGTATAACCTGTGTGCTAGTTTCATCTCAGTTGGCAGTTGAGCGAAGCAATGTTTTGAAGGCGTGCACAGGAACCATTCAGGAGGACGTGGTCCATCATACCAAATCGGAATAGAAGAAATGAACAACGTCTCATCCTCTGTGAAAACAAAATAAGAAACTCTTTTCCAAAGTATTATATCCTTAGATCCAAATTCAAGATATTTATGTTGGATTAGTTCAGCAGTATTTATAAATAAATATCTTTTAGTAGCTTTTGCTCTTTCCTCAGCATTCAAACAATTCAAAGAGAGCATAATAGCATACAGTATCAAAATTCTCTGTGTATTTTCCATCTTTGTGCAGCTTTGTTTTAATCTCTATTTTGTTTATTTTTACTTTTAACTCTTTGCTTTTTGAGATAGGTTCTCTGTATCTTTGACCTGAAGTAACTCTGTAGACCAGGCTGTCTTTGAACTCTCAGAGATCCGCCTGTCTCTGCCTCCCAGGCATTCGGGATTAAAGGTGTATGCTACTACACCTTGAACTCACAGAGATCTGTTTGTCTCTGCCTTCTAGGCACTGGGATTAAAGGCGTGTGTTACCACACACAACAACTCTCTTCCTCTTTTTTTTTTTTGTTTTTTACTTTAAGAACTTCAACTTTTAGTCTGCAGATATTTTTAACACACTTTAAACCATTCAGAAATTTTCTCTGCCTTTGAATCTCTCTTTACTGTATATCTCTCTTTTTCTGACCACATGAATCTTTAATTTACCAAGCAATATCAGTAGGATTAAAGGCGTGGCTTTGCCAGCTAGATCCAGTCCATTCCTTAGCTTTCCAGCCTCGTGACGGATATACAGGCTGTAGCCATGTTTAATGCAACAACTGTATGGCATTTCAAGGTCCCTGCCAGCAAGTGAGCTACAACAGACAACACTCAAGTCCTCTCTCAGTAGCCGGCCCTCCTGCCTCAAACAGTCAGAGTTTGCCCTGGCAGGACAGCCCAGAAAGCCGGCATTTTTAAAGGCGCAGCTTTTTTCCTGCTACGGCTGAAAACCGAAAAGCATGTGTTCAGCTTTTCGTCAACACCGTTTAAGTGTTTCGTGGCAGGACCTCTTAATGAGCTGCAGGCTTTGCAGCTAAAGCTGAGTCAGGAAGCCTCTCTTAGATGAGGTGCTTGCTTGCCTCTAGCAAGCAGAGTAGAACCGAGAAATTGCTGCTACCAAGAAACCAGGCACAATGCTTTCATTTTGTTCTAGAATTACTTCCCAAGCTGTCTCAGGCTTTATGTGGAAGCAGTTGTCCACGTGGGCGCCATATGAAGTAATAAGAGCGGCGGGGCTGCGTCCCCAGCATCCCGGCTGCCTGCTCAGCTAGCTTATGCCCCGAAATAACAACACACAAACTGTATTCATTTAAACACTGCCTGGCCCATTCTCTTCTAGGTTAATTCTCACATATTAATTTAGCCCATTTATAATCATCTGTGTGTAGCACCCCAAGGTGCGCTTACCAGGGAGATTCTAGCCTAGTCCATCCTGGGTCGGAGCTTCATCCTGGGAGCGGGGATGGCATCTCTCTCAGGCGTCTGCTCCCGAGAGAGCTGTGGAGTCTCTCCCTGAGCTCACTTCCTCTTCCTCCCAGCATTTTGTTCTGTTTACTCCTCCCACCTATCCTCTAACCAATAAAATGGGCCAGGGCAGTGCCTTTATTAGCCAATGACCTTCCTCCATCATGGTGGTTAAGTTGTGGATGCTAGAGTAGTCACATGACCCGGTGAACTGGACCCTGCTGATGTGTCTTCGCTCAGCCAGGTCACCCTGTGGTTACCTACCCTCTCACATGACTGCATGTACTCAAGACAGCCCCGGCTAACAGCAGGGTCTGAGGAGACCGAGACCACAGCGGCCTTGGAGCCTTGAAGATGAGGGGTGACTGCAGATGATGGGACAACTCCCTTAAATTGTAGCCGAGTCTGCCAGCAGCCCATATCTGTACGTGGCAATCTTGATTTGTGCTATTTGAAACCACCTGCACCATGTTGTGCTGGTTGCAGAAATGCACGTTGTATAAGGTTAGACTGGCCAGCTCGAAAGCAGGGGAAGATTGCTGGAGAAGACATGGGTGAGAATCACGGTGGGTCCCGCCACACGCTCTCCACACTTGCTAAAGTCAGGCTGTTGTGAGTGCGTCGGGTTGGTGCTGGGTTGTTGGGGCTGATGCTGGCTAGGCGTGTGTCGTTCCCTTCCTCCCTCCCTAGTCCATGTGCTTCCTGTCCTGAAACTGCAGGTGCGATTGATGAGGGCTAAAGGGAACTGCTCTGTGTGGGATCTGCCGACAAGCCCCTCTCTGCTGCTAGGACAGGGAGCACCACAGCAAAAACCATTCCTCCCACATCGCCCTCTGGGTTTGTCCACCACGTGGACTGGAATAGTTGTGTCAGACTTCACAGTACTATGTCCCGGTGCTGTGTGAGCAAACCCCGCCCCCACAAAGCAGCAGTGATAGACAGCTCCACCAAGTCTAGCTCTGCGCAGCAGCAAGTTTATTGGGGTTACTGACAGAAGACTTGAAGGCAGCTGCATTACATAGAAGCCACCCAGCATGCAGAGAGCGATATCCCTGGACTACAGACTGGAAGCCAACTCAGCAGCTTGGACGGTTTCCTATCTGCTACACAGCTTTTGGGGAGGCCCTGTGAACCTTGTGTTTCAGGAATTTCTGGAACCTTAATGAACTTCCCTCTAGGAAGTAATGTTGGAATGAGACGATAGGAAACCACACAACAGTCAAGGACAGACCACACCACATGGATGGGTCAGATGCTGAATGACAGACGAACTCATACAACGTTCTAGAAGATATATAAACTCCACCTTTTGACCGCTTTGCTGACAGGTTAAGATTTATCGCTCGTCTCAAGCTGCCCCTCTGTAGCCAAGGAAAAGGGGCCACTGACATTAACTCATACAGCAGCTGGGAGGGGAAAGGAGGCCGTGCAGAGGCCCCTGGCTGCCTTCTCCATCAGAAAGGGCCAGGTGGCAGAGGCCCAGGCTTTGTACATCTCTGTCTTAGAAGGATTGCTGAAGCTACCTTAGCCAAGCACTGCCCATGTCTCGCTGTGAATATACAGTGTGGGTCACTGAGCAGACCTCAGGTCTCAGCCAATGGGACTAGCCCCACTTGTCACCTCTACCCTGTCCCTCCAAGAAAAGCTCATCCAGGACGCAGGACAGGCTAAGTAGCCACGGTGTGCTAAAAAGGGCCGACAGCCACTTGGGTGAGGGCTGGCAGGAATCCAGGGGCAACATGGCTGTGCATTTGGGTTGCAAGAGCTGCCTGGTGGGAGGCACTGGTTCCCTTTGCTGCGCTCCCCTGCTTTCTACACTTGGGGACCCTGCCTTCGCCTGTCAGCCCCTCCATGTGGTAGAAAAAACACATTCCAATCATAGGCAGAGAGGCTCACCGCCACCAGAGTCCATCAGGTGCCTCTGCTTTCTAGAACCCCAAGGCAGAGAGGAGGGATGGGGCAGAATCTGTGGCAATTACTGCCCTTCTCTCCCATCCCCTGCTGGGAGCCAAGTGCCTAGAGGCTCCCAGCTGGCAGTGACCCAGCTAGAAGAGACTCCAGAGTCCCCACACTTTTGGTTCTTGTATTTCTGGAGACAAATTTGGCACAAGTGTCACATATGAGTTCATGACAGACAAACCTTTCCTTTGTTCCAGGCTTGTTAGGGAGCCTGGGCCTGAATTTCTGGGGACAGGTCTGTGCCTGGGCTAAGATCTTAGGCCCCTGTCTCCACCGCCACCTCGCTGACCAGCCAGCCTTGCTCACTCAGGCAGGAGTGCTAGGATGGCAGACAGGCAAACCTGAGGTAATGGGATGGAGGGTGGTTGGGATGTGGAGACATGAGGGTCACATGATGACATGAGGTGATGTGAGGGCTGGTTCCAAATGTCCCTTTTTATTTAAATAAGTGCACTTCACAGTAAGTTTCTCAAGCTCTTTGAGCCCAATGACATCACCAACTCTGTCTCTCGGTAGGGTGCCAGTTACAGTGGCCGCATGGCCTGATGTTGGTGTAGGTAAAACATCCCCATGCTGTACTTCACATTATCTAGTGCCAGGAACGGACAGCTGGGACAGACAGGTTAGCAAGCCTCACTCCTTTCCTAACACGGTACCTCACAGGCAGCAGCAGCAACACGGCGGGAAAAACACACAGGACTCAGATCCTCAGTAAACACAGGTGTGGTCTCCTAGGACCAATTAATCTGAAACTGTTCTCCCATGAGCAGCGAGACGGGGATAGCCAGGGTCTGGAAGACAGAAAAGAGGTTGAGCTCCAAGTGGTTCCCACCCACAGCCATGCCCCCCTCTCCACCACGGAGAGGGACCAGCGCCTCAGAATTAGCACATGATTCCACTGGGAACAAGCTTTTGTCTAGCAGCCCAGCCTCCATCACCTCCTCACTCCAAGGCAGAAATGGCGAGGGGTCTCCCAAAAGCGTGTCTCAGGATAGCTGAACCACAAGAGTCCCTGGGGTCCTTAGCACCCCTTCTCCCATGCCCACCAGGGCATAGAAACCCCAGCCTCCAGCCTGCGCTCTTACCTTGCTGTCAGGGCTGTAGGTGAAATTAGAGACAGGGACACCATTGGAAAGGACTTGTGTAGGGGCTGTGGTCACTCCCAAGATGGCCACCTCCTTCAGCTGTAGGTCAGTCCCCGCCTTGGTCATGTGCACTAACTCATTCACAATGGTATTCTGGTAATGGGGAGAGAAAACAATGTGTCAGACTGTGAGAGTGAGCCCACCACCAGAACAGGAACTCACAGGCCAGCCTCCTGTGTGCCGACATGAGGGACATGCTGACCCAGGGATGGTGGCCACTGGGTTCTCTGGCCCAGACCCTCCCTCCACCAGATCAGGACAACCCACCCCCATGTTTCTACCTGTCAGCCATTACTCACATTCTTGGCCAAGAAGGTGATCAGTGCATAGGCCCCCTGCTCCAGAACCCCAAGGCTCTCCCCATCGTCCCAGTACAGCTCTCCACGGGCCTCGCCGCTTGCTGTTAAAGCCACAACCAGGGCCATGGGCTGCTTTCGGGATTCCGTAGTTGTGAGGCTGGGACCCTGGGAAGAGGGTGTGCAAATGTCACACCTTGAACCCTGGGGACTCCCAGGACATCTATGATGACTACCTTGGCCAGGTGTTGAACCCAGGATGTCAGGCGACTACCCTGGCCAAGTCCTCCATAAAGCTTTATATACTGCCAGGGCTTTATACTGTGCCCTGTGCCTGCTCCCTGCCTCGCTCCTGAAGTAAGAGTCCATCCCAGTCCTGCCCAAGGCCCTGGGGCTGCTGGATCTGGGTACCTGCAGCGGTAGGATGTATCCTGCCCTCAGGTGCACATTGATGGTATCCAGTGGGGCTTCGAGCTTCAACCACTGCCCCTTGCTGTGGACAGCAGATCTGGGGGGTGACGGAGGAGATGGTGGAGGAGATGGGAGGCTGCCGAGAACCTCCACTGGCACCTGGAAGAAGGGGTCACATCAGAAGGGTGCGGGGCAGCACCCAAGCTACCACGCTGGTTCTTGGATCCATGTTCTCCTGTCCCCTAAGGCTATGTGTGGTGGTCCAAAGGTCCCCGTTGAGACAAACTGGTTGTGACCTCAGGGGTGGACTCTGTAGGACTGAGCAGGGAATGCCTGGCTTAGCTCGGCTTCGATGCTGTGGGGCCCTGGAAGCTACCCCTTCAGCCTGCACTTCCTCATCTAGAAGTGGGGGTTACGGCAAAGAGCTGATACATGGCACCCAGGGATGGACCAGCACGCAGCTCCCTTTACTGTAACTGACAGGCCAGCAAGGCATGGCCACCCTGTGATGACCCATCACTTCTGTGGATGAGGGACCTCAGGACTCACCATCTGCAGGTTGTACCACACGCCCTCAGGGAAGTAGCCAGTCACTTCAGTTTTCCCAGGCTCAAGCACAGGTGTGATGAGCAGAGCTGACCCCCACAAGAGCTGGCGGTCCACAGACCAAGTGCTGGGATCCTCAGGGAACCTTCACAGAAGAGACAGGCATGAGGGCCTGGAGACTGGGCTCTGGCACCAGCTGTCTGGCTGCAGGAACAATCAGAAACCCAGTCCCCGAGAAACTTCGAAACTTCAGGAGCCAGAGTTGTGTCTGTGCCGGAGTCCAGAACAATTCTTTTTCTTTCTTTTTTTCTTCCTTCCTTTCATTTATTTATTTTTGGTTTTTCAAGATTTTCAAGACAGGGTTTCTCTGTGCAGCCCTGGCTATCCTCTCCTGAACGCTGGGATTAAGGGGGTGTACCACCAGACTGCACACCACATGCCCAGCTTTTTAAACATGAACACTGGGGATGAAACCTGAATCCTCGTGTTTGTAAAACAAGCACTTTCCCAGTTGAACCAATCCCCAGCCTAACCAGTTGTGTGTAGTCACCTAGTCCCTCCGGAACGTATCTGTGTGCGGTAAGGAAGAGGCTGACTCCTCTAGAGCAAGCCACTTGCCTTTCTACCCAAGAACCTTCTGCTATCTGCCCACTGGAGAGGTCACAGTCATGCCTATTGAGCAGAGTCCAGTCTGGGGACATAGATGGGGCATCTCTGGCTTGTCCTCCTCCCTGAAGCCACCCCCAAAATGGATCACCATGACAATTTCATCATGGCTTTGTCAGCCAGCAAGCCTGGTCCATACTCCAGATATCCTGGCCCCGAGTTGGAGTCTAGGAGGCCTGAGGGTACAGGGACACTCTGGGCACACTCAGCTGTAGCCTGCTTGGGTTGTGAACACAGCCCATAGCAGGAGGAGGTTCCCTGGCATCAGCCCCCCAGGGACACATGTGAACTGTCATTCCCTGACCCAGGTGACTCACTCCAGGAAGAGAGGCCGGGCCACTGTGTCCCCTCTGACGTGGGCTCCATGGAACAGAGTGTACAGGAAGGGCAGAAGCACGTAGCGCAAGGTAAAGGCCTTCCTCATAGCCTGCTGTGCGGTCTCGCTGAATCTGTATGGCTCCTGAGGCTGTGTGGGCAGAGAGGGAAAAGGAGGTGTGCTGGTTAGCTGTCCATCAACTCAACACAAGCTGGCATCATCTGGGAAGAGGGAACCTCAACTGAGAAAATGCCTCCAACTTACTGGCCTGGAAGCAAGTGGCGGGGGCCATTTTCTTACTTAACAATTGATATGGGAGGGCCCAGTCCGCCTGGGTAGGCGCCCCTGCGTTGTATTAAAAGCCTTCAGTTCCCACCCTGACTGCCCTTCATGACGGAATGTAAGACTGAAAGATAAACCCTTTCTTCCCCAAGCTGCTTTTGTCTGTGGTGTCTGTCACAGCAACAGAAAGCACAGTAGACCAGGAGAATGTCCACCCCAAGAATCTCCAGCTCCTTGGCCATCCTGCGTGGACAGGACAGCATGGACTGGGCTCCTCCAGCAGCGGTGGGATTGGGCAGGACAGGGTCTTGGCAGGTAGGAACCCCCGTCACCCCCTCCTACCATGCTATTGAGGTCGTTGTGGTTCCGCATGAAGGGGTAAAAGGCCCCCAACTGGGTCCAGCGCACACACAGCTCCTCTGATGTGTTCCCCAGGAAGCCGCAGATGTCCGCCCCCACCAGGGGCACGCCTAGCAGGTTAAACTGCAGGATTTCTGAGAGGGCAGAGGCAGAGTGGCACCAGGTCACCAAGACAGCAGTTGGACAGTCAGGCCTCACCATCCATCAAGAACCCATTGCCTCTGTGCTTTCTTTCTTTTTTTTTTTTTTTTGGTTTTTCGAGACAGGGTTTCTCTGTGGCTTTGGAGCCTGTCCTGGAACTAGCTCTGTAGACCAGGCTGGTCTCGAACTCACAGAGATCCGCCTACCTCTGCCTCCCGAGTGCTGGATTTTTTTTTTTTTTTTTTTTTTGGCCTCTGTGCTTTCTGCCTGGGGTCAGCAACTGCTTCCTAATACCTGGGCCCAGCAGAGTAGACAGAGCCCAGTGTGCTGAGAGGCACGTTGTGACCTTACTTGGAAACATGAGCTAAGGTGAAGCATCTGGTGTGGTCCTAGCCTAACAGCTAACGTCCTCACAAGAGGAAAATGCCACGTGAAGAGAAGGTCACATGGGGAGATAGTCCTGCAAGGAATAGCCATGCAATGAGATGCCCAGACACCATGAGCAGAAGGAAAGGTCCCCAAGGCTGTGCAGGGGCACTGAGTTACACCTCTGTGCAAGGGGGCACTGTCAGGGGATGGATTCCTGTTACATTAAGTCCCCCAATGCTGTCCTCAGTGATGGCAGCCTCAGGACACTAACAGACAACTCAGGGTAGACATTCCCCTGACTGCTAAGGGCTGGATGGACTCATGTTGTTCAGCCCAGTGCCAATCCCAATCTCCCTCTGCTGCTGCACTGGCTTCCTTAGAACCAGGGAGCTGATGGGCAGCCTGGTGCCCCGGAGACTTAGCTGAGTCAAACCTGACCCTGGAAGCAGCTAGGACTAGGCTCAGTATTTGTCAGCTCAAAGAAGAAATGAGTCCAAGAGAAAGGAGCAAATCCAGACCCCAGCTCCACAAGGTATTTCTCAGTCTGGCTCCTGGCCTGACAGACCTGCCCAGACTGAGTTTCAACCACAGGGCAGAGGTGGCCAGCTCACATCTGGGAGCTCAGCCAGCTGGGATCCTTCATAGGTCTGTGAACATCTTACACAGAAGTCAGAAGGTTCTAGACTCTAAGTCAAGGCTCTAGCTGCCCATGTGGTGCCATGGCTCCTCTCCTTCCCTAGTCTATTCTCCAGGGTTCCTGCCTTCTCTGACCTAACATGGGCCAATGGTATCAAAGTTCTTGGAACAAAAATCAAATTCCTTTTAGCGAGCAAAGCAGGTAGGTGCCTCTGTATCTCAGGATGGGGTCACCAGGGAACAACTGTTGAAGAGGACAAGCACTGGTCAGGGAGAACTGGACACGGGGACACTGAGAAGGTGCCACGGGTGAGCCGCTGGCAAAGGGAAGCATGTCTGCTCAACTGAGTAGGGACCCGCAGGCTACACGTCCCGCATGAGATAGCAACGGGGCCCCAAGCCATCTCGGTACACTCTGTGGGGCTGAGCCCAGAACCCAGTGCCCTCCAGGCAGCTTGGACTCACCTGGCACAGAGTTGGAAAGATGCTCCCAGGTGCTCCACACATCCCCCGTCCAGTGGCCAGCATATCGGCCATGGCCAGCGAAGGTTGAGCGGGAGATCACAAAGGGTCGTGTCCCCCGGGTCTTCACTAGGGCCCTGAGTGGGGTGGGAACAGAGAGCTGGGCTCACCTGACACAGCCAGGGCTCCAGGGGTCAGGGGCAAGGGGACCGGGGCTAGAAGGAACTACCATTAAGGAGAAGGACAGAATGGATGGGGAAGAGAGGCCACCACCAAAGTATGCTTGGCAGTCAGCCCCATCCCAGTGACTCTGGTGTCCTCTAGAGGTGAGCCTCATTCTGAGCCTTGTTGGACTCATGCGGTCCCTTAGATGCCATTCCCTACCCACGTAACACCTCGGATGCCCTGTGGAGAGAGGCTGGCTCTAAGCTGGAGTGGAGCGCAGTGACCAGTTGGGCAGGAGCGTGCTTGCATTGTAGGCCTGTGGGTGGTCTGGGTGCCTCTTTCCCTTCCTTACGACCCTGATAGGAGCCAGCTCCCCTCTCAGCCCCCGCTGTGCGTGCTGGGAAGGCTGCACAGGGCTGAGCCTTACCTGTTGGAGGCGATGGCTTCCGTCAAGCCGTACAGGTTGTGGAGGTTGTAGTGTGTGGAGAGGAACTGGCGGCTCGAGGCACAGATCGTAGCTGCCTGCAAGGTCCCGCCAACCACCCCTGGGCAAGAGGACGACTAGTTTAGACTGGTTTACCAGTTTCCAGGGCTCCAAGTGCTCTCCTTTGCCCACGTCCTCTGCTCAGATGGACAGAGCCCACTTGCCCCATGATGCTCGGGGCAAGTCACCTCTGCTATCCTAAAGATGACCCTCTGCAAACCCATCGCCTCCATATCGACCATCCCCAGCATCTGCCCATCTGAGCCCAAACCCCTTCCCCTAGGGCTCTGGCTACATGATGTGTGGCCTTGGCTATGTCACTCTCCACAGGACCTCATGCTTCGGGTTTCTCTCCTCTTTGTCCTGCTGGGTGCTCTGTCTGCCTTCTGTTTGCCCAAACCGAGAGCTCTGCATGCTCTAAACCTCAAAGGGGCACTCCCTGGTCAAAGCCACTATCTCTAGCACTGTCCCCACTCCAGACAGACAAGTGGAGCTCACCGGGCACATAGGGTGGGTTCTCCAGTTCATTGTCAGGGCAGCCCTGCTGAGAGCCTCTAATGAAGTTGGATGGTTCGTTCATGTCCTGTAAGAGGCCTAAGATGTAGTACTGGGTTGGTCCCCAGAGACTAGGGGTGTACCCAGGGGCAGGGGTATACTTACAATCCACATTCCATCAAAGGGCACCTGGGCATGGAACTCAGAGACCATGTCCTGCCACCAGTCAAGGGTCTCAGGGTTGGTGAAATCGGGGAAGGCGGTGGATCCAGGCCATACCTGAACAAGAGACCAGAGGGGAGAACAGGTCCCATGCAGACCCTGCACCACGGTGCTGTCAGGCCTCAGACTTGGGCAGAGCAGCAGCTTCATGCTTGGCCAATGCTGACACATATCACAAACCTCAAGCCCACAACAAAGAAGCCTCTCCCACAATGTCTAGAGTCTTGGAGGGCTTCTGCCTCGGGACAGCAAGGACCATCCCTACACACAAAGTCATGGGGCACAAGAAGCATGGACCCAGAGCATTGGGAAAAAGTTGAGACAACTCCATTGGAGGCCCCTCACTGGACACACCCAAGCCTGCCCTTCCCATAGCTAGGGACACCTTAGGATGGGGAGGCTGGGACTCAGAACTCCCAGAAGGCCCCCCAGGGACAAGAAGGACAAGGGAGACCCCCAAGGCCTCATACTTTGGAAATCCCAGGTATTTGTCAGAAGTTATGGTCACCCCCAGTGAGGACCCCCACGTTCCTCTCTCCCATTTGACATGGTGGCTTCTGAATCTGACTCTTCCCCTGGACAGCTGCTCTGTCCCCTGCCCACAGTCCCCTTCTCCCACACTACCTTCCCAATCAGTGGCTGCCCAGTCTCATTGGTGATGAACACGCCCCTCCGAAGACCCTCGTCATAGGGCCGGTAACTCCCAGGAGGGCCTGAACTGCTGATGGCAGGGTCCTGGGGAAAGAAGCCGGCAGTGAGAAGGGTTCAGCACGAGCCACTGGAAGAAGGGAAAGCAGTGAGTCAGAGACCTGCCGTGGGAGGACAGAACAGGTGACAATTCGTGTTCGGTGGGTCGACCCAACCGGGGAGCCCCACCTGGTAAGATCGTGGGGTCACGGACTGTAAATGACCAGCTGCTTCTGTCTGTAAATTCTCTCGCATATACCATTTCATTTCTTCTTCCCTAAGAACCGCTTTGGTTGTTTTTTTTCCCCTCTGCTGTATGTTTATCTTGTGAAAATATTCCATCTACTGGGCACACATATAGCTGTGGATGGCCAGGAAGATGCTTTCTCCTTAATCAGTATAATTCTGATGAATAGAAATAATACTAAGATATTTTTCACTACTCAGACTGACATAAGAAAGTAATAGTATTCTCAGTCACCAAGTCAGCTAATTTTAGACTTCAGGACAAATTCAAGTCAAACTGGTTGCCCTTGGAGACGAAATATCTGGTTGCCCCTAGAGACAAATACATGAGGTCATTTCCCCCCAGGTGTTTATTGCCGATTCAAGGTCAGAGGGGGAAGCAACTTTAGTAGACGTAACATTCTTAGTAACTGACATTTTGCACATAGTCCCAGCCTCTATGTCACAGGCTCAAGGTTATTTTCTGTCTGGGAACCCTGTAAACCCTAACCATTTAGGCTATGTGCATGGCCAGGCATTACTCACCGGCGGTCAATGTGACCTCCCTAGTCTGAGAAATATTGTGTTATGAGAATGGGTTGGGCCCTGATAATGTAACATATAACTGTCCATAGTTTGGCTGTGAGGAAAAGCTACATAAGGCTCTTCAGGAGAGGCTATGGAGAGTTGTGGAGAAGGTGGTGGGATGAAGGGAGCACTGTTAAGAGATGGGCTGTGCAGAGCTATTCAGGCAGCTGGGTAGGGATAGCTATGTCGAGGAGCAAGAGAGATTTTCAGAGAGCATTTGTAAGATGAAGAAAAAGGGAAAGTCACCATCAGAAAGTGTGTGTGTTTGCTTATTTTTCCCCTCAGACAGAAAGTCTAGCCCTCAGACAGGTAAGAATTTTTCCTAATCACTTGCTACATTCATGGGTTTTTTTGCATATCCTGGTGCTGACTGAAGGCTGCCCACCCCCCAAGTTAGCGATGGTACGTGAAAACGGCACACAGTTGGCCAGGCTGAAGAGCTGACTGGGAACTGGAGGTGTGAGTCTAGATTCCTGATCATCCTGTTCAAGACAAATGTTTACTGCTTGCGTCTTTTATTTTTATTTTATTTTTGCTTCCTGGGGCTGTTTTGTTTTGTTCTTTAAGACAGGGTTTCTTTGTGTAGCCTTGACTGTCCTGGAACTCACTCTGTAGACCAGGTTGGCCTCAAACTCAGGTATGTGCCTTCCTCTGCCTCCCGAGTGCTGGGATTAAAGGTGTGCACCACATGTCCAATTTATTCTTATTATTTTTAATTGTGCGTGTGGTAGTTTGACTGTAACTGGCCCCCATGATCCTGTAATCTCATAGGGAGCAGCACTATCATGAAGTGTAGCTTTGTTGGAGGACGTGTGTCACTGTGGGGATGGGCTTTGAGGTTTCATATACTCAGGATACCGCCCAGGGAGTCAGTCAAATTCCTGTTGCCTGCAACATGTAGGACACTTGGCTATTTCTCCAGCAGCATGCCCACCTGCATGCCGCCATGCTCCCTGTCATGGCAGACTGAACCTCTGAAACTGTAAGCAACCAATCCTCAGTTAAATGTTTTCTTTATTTTCTTTTAAAGATTTATTATTTATTATACATACATTGTTCTGCCTGCATGTATCCCTGCAGGTCAGAAGAGGGCACCAGATATCATTACTGATGGTTGTGAGCCATCACATGGTTGCTGGGAATTGAACTCAGGACCTTTGGATGAGCGGGCAGTGCTCTTAACCACTGAGCTATCTTTCCAGCCCCAAATGTTTTTTTTTTTTTTATAAGAGTTGCCATGGTCATGGTGACTCTTCACAGCAATAGTAAACCCTAACTAAGACTCTGTGTGTGTGTGTGTCTAGAAGAAACTGTCAGTTCCCTGGAGCTGAAACTATAGGCAGTTATGAGCTGACTGACATGGTACCAGGCACTGAACTGTCCTCTTCAAGAACAGTGTGCTCTTAACTGCGGAGCCATCTTTCCCGGGGCATACAGGTGCTTCCAGGAACCTCGCCAGAAGACACTAAGCCTGCAGCCCTCTAGACATTTCTTCAACATCAAAGACTCAGAGAATGTCCAAGGAAAGCACTGGCTAGGAGGAAGAAGCCACATTGGCTGCGTTCGGCTTACCACGATCATCATGTACCGCCGGCCACCCTGGTGGAGCTCCCGCACCATGTCTGGGAAGTCTGCAAAGCCATCCTGGTTGAAGGTGAAGTCCCTGCGGGCGTCCATGTAGTCCAGGTCGTTCCACTGCACATCCTGCGGCACGGGATGGGAGCTGAAGCTGAGATGGGGCCCAACAGTACAGAAGCTGGGGCTGCCCCGCCCTGACTCCCACTCACCAGGGGGAAGTGTGCTCTCGTCATGTTCTCCACCACCTCACGGATGATGGCAGTGGAGGAGTAGCCCCAGCGGCAGAGGTGGAAACCCAGGCCCCAGTACGGCGGCATGAAGGGGTAACCTGCAGGCCAGGACCGCAAGTGAGCAGGGACTGGGGGCAAGGGTCAGGGCCTAGGGGTCTGAGATCAGTGGACAGAGAGCAGGCCCTACCCACAACATCCTGGTACTGCTGCACAACGCTCTTGGGCTCTGGGCCTAGGAACACGTACACATCCAAGATCCCACCTGTTGACCTCCAGGTTAGGGCCGGGCTGGGCTGCAGGACCACATCTGGAAGAAAGTGACTTAGATTCAGGAACGAGTCCTCCACAGACAGGCCAACCTGCATCTACAGAGTGTGGTTCTTCCGATATGAAGGCTGGGAGATGCCTGCAGGGCGGGAGTGGGGCAACTGTTCTGAGCCCAACTTAGCAAGGCCTGAAGGACGTGGAGTAGATGAGCCTGGGGAATCCCCCAGACCTTCTCCTTGGGTGGGGGTGGGGAGTGAGCAGGATGAGGACTCTGCCCACTGGACTCTCTCCACATAAGGTCCCTTGAGACAAGCAGACTCCGAGGCAGGCAGAGCCTCAAGCTCTCCCACTGAAGGATTACCTAGGAGCTTCAGTCTGGAGACTCACCCATGGCATTGCTGTTCAGCAGGAAGACACCATGAGCCAAGCCACCGTCCTCCAGTGCCAGGTAGAATGGGTGTGACCCGTAGAGGTTGGCACCTGGCTGGAATGACAAGAGACAGTACCTCGCACCCAGGACCCTAGCCTCCACCTTCCCACCTCTGCTCATCTCTTACCAAGGGTGCCAGGTCCCGGTTCCAGAGGGTGACCCGCGTCCATTCGGTGCTGAGCATGAGTGGGCTGAGGTGCTCAGCGAGGCCTGTGATGTGCTGGGAGGGCAATGACGTGGACAGCTGCAGAAACTGGTCAGCGAAGAACAGGGGGGCCACAGTAGTGTTCAGCCTGTGGGGAAGACATTAGGCTCCCCTGGATCGACCCCAGACCACACAAATCCAGGATGGTGGATCCATCAGGGAAGGGTTGGAGAGGGACAGAGCGACCTCACTAGCTCTGCATCAGGCCAACCCTGGGACAATGGCTATATAAAGACCAGAACACCTGCAAACAGTGGGAAAAGCCAGCACAGGCACGCTCAGAGGGGCCCAGGAGTACAAACATGAGGTCCTGTCAGGGAGACATGAACCCTCGATAGTGAGTTAATAATAAAGCTCACAGTAAGAGATGTGTATCTGATAAATAAAAGCAAGGCCACTAGTGCGCCACCTGCAGGGGGTACCACTGTGGACTGGATTGGGTCTTTCCCTAGTACCACTGGGTGGATCATCTTGGATAGCACAGGTGCCAAACACTGGTGTTGTAGCAATGATGTCATCTCCACACATCCCTTGTATCTCCTAGGGGCATGAGGCCTCACTGTGAAGCCACGGAGGGAACCTCTCAGACCCAATGTAGAAGCACCAAGCCGAGACCTTGGTGAGCACTCAACAGTCGGCCACTGATGCGTGCCTGGTGGTCCACACACAGGGCGGGGTGAGGGTTGGGTTTTGTCAACTTGATACAAGTTAGGGTCTTCTGGGAAGAGGGACTCTCAATTGAGGAAATCCTTCCATCAGATTGGCCTGCAAACAACCCTGTGGTGGCATTTTCTTGATTGATGGATGGGAGAGGGTCCAGCACACTGTGGGTGGTACACCCCCTGGGGCTGGTGGTCCAGGGTTGGAAGTTCTGACCTCCGAGGGGCCACCACGTCCCTGTCAACCCCAGGGTAGGGTCAAAGTTCCAGGCACCCCACTTACAGCACCCGGCCATTCAGCTTCCTGCGGACAATCACTCCGAAGGGCTCCTCTGAGAACTCCACAGTATAGAGGGGGGACAGTGCCTGGCTCAGGACACGCGGGGTCTCCATGGGCACTTCGTAGCGCTTATTAGCGGGGTCTTTGATCTAGGAAAGAAGAGAGAGGTGCCCAGAGCCCTTCAAGAGCCAGGGGCCCCTTCCCTCACTGCAGCCCCTTCACACCTCCAGGAGACATGGTTCCGAACAGTCGGTCAGTTCAGCCCTCTCCCCAGGGTAACTGCACAGTATGCAGCATGGGCCATAGTTCCCTCAGCTGTGTAACTGGCAGGAAGGAGGCCTCCCTGAGGTTGCCAAAGGCAGAGCATTGACTAAACCTGAACACCACATAGACAGTGAATAGTTTTGTGTTTGATCTTTTTCCCCCTTGCTTTTAATTAATTTATTACATTTTGAGGCATGGCTACACTATGAAGACGAGGCTGACATTTAACTCACTGAGATCCTCTTGCTACAGCCTCCTAAATGCTGCAATTACAAGCATAGCAAGTTTTTCAGAAAAAAAAAAAGGACATACCAAGGCCATGCGCTACCAATGAGCTGTGCACCAGGCCCCACAAATAGTTTTTAATTTTTTATATTTATTTGTGTGTGTGTGTGTGTGAAGTAGAGGTAAGGTGTTTGTCTTCTCACTCTCCATCCTGGTTAGGCTGGCGGCCAGAGCTCTCCAGGATCTGCTTGTCTGCCCCACCCCCAGTGCTGGGGCTATAGGTGTATGTTCCACGCCTGACCTTCTATCCAGGTGCCAGGATCCGAGCTCCTCACGCTTGTCCAGCAAGCACTTTACCCATATCCCCAGCTCCCACAGTTTGTGGCCTAAGGATGGCCCCAGCATCATGCAGAACTGCGCTATACTAAAAACACAGAATCATCCTCCCGAGACACAGGGTGATGTGGGCACTGCCAGGGGATGACAGGGAATGGGGCAAATGAAAATTCCTGCTGTCTACAGTGGCCAGTCCTGAAGTCACCGCCTGGAACATTCCACCTGTGCCCAGGCCTCCTATCACCACTCTGTCCTACCACACATATCCCTGGGAAAATGCATCACCCACCCGCACACCTATCCTCTGCTCTGCCTGGCCCATCCTTCTGCAGGGGCTGTCCTGTCACGGGCCTTCCTGGTGACCCAGCTCTAGCCAGGGTCTACCGTGCCCACACCCACCATGAAGTGGAGGCGGCTCTCGGTCTCCATCAGCACATCCAGCTGTAAGCTCAGCACATCCTTTGGGAAGAAGGTCGGGCTGGTACGGGTCAGGGTGGCTGTGTACCCCGTCTCTGTAGAGTTCAAATTCTCTAGCCTGTAGCTTGGGTAACTGGGAGGGAAGAAACACCAGGGCTGCCCCATCAGCGGCGCCTTTAGCACTTGCCCGGCTGGGACATAGCAGCAGCCACGGGCCTCACACTCCTCCCGGGAGATGCCCTTGTCTGGAGCACAGTCAAAGCGGCTGTTGGGAGGCACATCACACTTCGTGGGCACTGCTGCAGGCTGCACAGGGTGCTCCTGGGTGTGCTGGGGCCGTGGCCCGTAACCCTTCCAATGTTGAGGCCTAAAAGTATCTTCCAGTCCTGAAGAGGACGCAGGAAAGTCTTGGGGAAGCATCATTAAGTCATGGAGCATGACATGACCCAGAATGATAGCGGTTATAAAGCAGATGAGGATGCAGACCCCAACCAGAGAGTGGGCACAGAGAGGCTTCCTCGTCTTCATGGTGAAAGCCTGTTGGCCCATACACAGTCCTGGAGGCCTGAGGAGAGGAAGATCCAGCATCAATGTGGGCGGGGGTCAGGGAGTCCTGGGTGCATTCACACAGCAGCACCCACACACAGCGCAAGGGGAAGCAGACAGCCAGAGTATCTCCTTCCACAGCAACAGTGAGGAAGGCAGAAGCCAGGTAGAGGAGATCAAACTCCTCAGAGGCAGAGGGGTTTCTGTGGACATGGCCCCCACACGGCCCCATGGCCCTGTACAGACCGATGTGAAAGGGAACCAAGACTTTACCTATCCGGAGGTCTTCTGTGTGAGCAGAAAGGCTGGGGAGCCATCAAGTCAAACCACATGGAGAGGACGAGAAGGAGTGGGGTGAAAAGCCAGGTCACAGGGTTCTCTGGCTATAACTGGCCACGGAGGTGTGTGGGCCTTCCGGAAATGGGGTTCATTTCAGGATGTGGTGGGGACAGGGAGGGACTCAGCGCGGGGGTGGGGGGAGTACTAGAGGTTCTCTGGGTCACCAGACATACTCAAGAGACAATGGCCTGGTTGCAGATGGGCCAGCTGTGAATATTCTGACCAGCAATTGGGGCTCTTCAGGTTGACAGTTAAATTTTTACCCATAATACCTGTGACTTTCTCCTGCTAGTGACTCTCCAGCTCCCTAGTAACCTGCAGGGGTGTGGGTGGGTGGGATGAGGGGTGAACTATAACCCAATTCAGTTCTGATCGATCTATCTATCTATCTATCTATCTATCTATCTATCTATCTATCGTTAGGGCAGACTTCTCCAGGCTGGGGCTCTACCACACTTAAATGCCAGGTACAAACCCCAGGTTGCTACCAGTACTTCTGAGGGGCTGGCTATCAGCCTAGTAGGTCCAAGGACTCTGGCACTGGAACTCACACCTCAAGGAACCCAGAAAAGCTATATATATATATATATATATATATATATATATATATATATATATGCTATAACTCAAGAACAGCCAGATAAAAGAAACGGGCTGGGAACAGGTGGGCGTGCCCCTGCAATGTGTGTGGAGCATCTGGGATTCTGGGATGCTCCCTGAACCCACCCACTTGGCTGTCACTTCGAGTTAGGGTTTCCAGTAGCCCAGGCTTGCTATGAAGCCAGGGATTCCTGCCATCACCTCCCACGTGCTGTGCTTTCTGGCACTGGATTTCACACCCAGCTCTGCTGAGTTCTGCCTTCCGTTATGCAGGCATGACTGATGACATCAATAGCCGTGGTGAGTGATCGTTAGCCTCTGTGGGGAGTCAGGATGCTTGGGTGGGCTGCAGTTTCCAACCCTCCAATGACACCTTGTCTTTCGGTTGCCTAGCGGCCATAAAGCTACTAGGGACCCCAGCCTCCGGGCTAGCAATAGAAAGCCAGAGACCCATTTTGTCTTTACTGCTGCGCAACAGCTCCACCTGGCCCTTCGGACACGTGTGACACTGATCATGATTCAGCATCCAAGGACAATGACGTGCTCAGACTCCCGCTGGGCAGCGTGGGAATCTGCAGATTCCAGGACCTTCCAAGGAGGCCCCGGTGCGCAACAGATAAACACGTACATCAGAACAAAGTCCCAGAAACAGAAACCAGACAGCTCAGGCCCGTTCTCTCAACTCCACAATTTAGAGGAAAAAAAAATAGGGAAGGAACTAAAGATCAGACGCCACTGCTGATCTGGAGACCTAAGCTTGCTTTCTAGAAAGCTGCTGGATGCGCAGCACCACCAGGCACAGGCGAGCCCAAACACAAGCTTTCGAGACACCGTGCGCATTCTCTCTGTGCCACTGTGCGCGTTCTCTCTGTGCCTCAGTTTCCCCCTGCGAGACATACACACAGAGCTTGGCCCACCCAGCACTGAGGGTACCCACTAGAATCCGGGATATTTTGCCGAAGCCTGTGGTGTCACTCAGGTCCCTGCCTGCGCCTGCCTGAGCCGGGGGTCGGGGGTCGGGGGAGTCCCACCTCTCTCGGTTTCTCAGCTCGATTCTCCCAAGCAGGAACTCACTTGATAGTCGGCCCCGGCCGCCCTGAAGGAGCCCGCTCCTCTGGAGGCCCTCGGGCCTGAGACAGCCTTCACCAGCGCGTCCAGCTCACCTGCGCAAACACCCTCCGGGCAGCAGACCCCCAAACCCAGCGAGACAGCTCGGGTCACGTGGTCCGAGGGCGGGGCTAGACAGAACGGACCACGTGACTCGGCCTCCGATGTGGGCGTTCTCACTGCGCCCCCTAGTGGCTGCGGGCGGCAGAGCGCGCAGGTGTCGCCGGGCGGTGACCGGGAAGACGCTGGCACAGAACAGATCCAACCCAAGGCCACCCATCCAGAACCTCGAAAGCTTCAGTGGGAGATGAAAACCAGTCCAGACCTGGGAGTTCCGTCAGCTTGCTCGGTAGGGAAAGAGTCAAAAACACGTGATCACACACACACACACACAAAAACCCCTATGCTGGCGAAAGCATAAAATGACGCCAGGCTTTTGACATTGATGGTCATAAATTGAGACATAAGCACAGGGTGGTGGTGTGAGCATGTGATCCCAGCACTCAGGAGACAGAGGCAGGAGGATTGCTAATTTGAGTCCAACATAGGACACCTGGTGAGACCCTGTTTCAAAAACCAAAGTAGGCCAAGCAATGGTGGCACACGCCTTTAATCCCAGCACTTGGGAGGCAGAGACAGGCAGATCTCTGTGAGTTTGAGGCCAGCCTGGTCTACAGAGTGGGTTTCAGGACAGGTTCCAAAGCTACAGAGAAACCCTGTCTCGAAACACCAAACAAAAACAGAAACAAAACAAAACAAAATGAAAAACCCCAGTCCCATACTTTGGCTGGGGGATGTCCTGGAAGACACTGCACACAGTTCTGGAAGCTTGTCAGAGCGCAGTGCAGGGATGATTAGTGCCAAGAGATGACCAGTGATGGACAGGACCTCACTTTGGCCAAGGCTGCTTAGCCATACAGACTTCTGCCCTATTAAACCTCACATTGGGACCCTCAAGGTGGGCCTGGCATGGATGGTGGTCCATTATTTGTGCCACTTCCCATTGTGGCCACATTTAATAACTCCCCCTTTGAAGCATGAGTAATAAAAACTCAGAGAGAGAAATTGGGGTTCAACCTGAAGGTCAGAAAGGCAAAGCAGCCAGCCACTGGCTCTTACCTCGACCTCAGTCCAAAATGGTGATCCTGCCTCCTGGAAATCCTCGGAATGAGACTGAGCCTGAGAGCTGTCTCTTCCAGTTTTTTTTTTTTTTTTTGATTTTCGAGACAGGGTTTCTCCGTAGCTTTTGGTTCCTGTCCTGGAACTAGCTCTTGTAGTCCAGGCTGGCCTCAAACTCACAGAGATCCGCCTGCCTCTGCCTCCCGAGTGCTGGGATTAAAGGCGTGCACCACCACCTCCCGGTTGTCTCCTCCCATTTTATATTCCTCTCTAGTTCTGGGATTAAAGGCGTGCACCACTACCGCCTGGTTTTTATGGCAAACTAGTGTGGCTTCTGGGATTAAAGGTGTGTGTTATTGCAGCCTGGTCTGTGAGACTGGCCAGTGTGGCTGTTTTACTCCTTGAACTTCAGGCAAGCTTTATTTATTAAACTATAAATGAAGCTGGGTGGTGGCGGCATGAGCCTTCAATCCCAGCACTTGGGAGGCAGAGGCAGGCGGATCTCTGTGGGTTCGAGGCCAGCCTTGTCTACAAGAGCTAGTTCCAGGACAGGCTCCAAAGCTACAGAGAAACCCCATCTTGAAAAACCAATATATATATATATATATATATATATATATATATATATATTGAAATATCACTACACCTTTCTCTGCTTTTCACTGTTGTCTCTAGTTGGCACTGATGACAGGTAGCTGAGCCTAGTTTATTGGGGCTGCCAGGCTCCGTATCAGAGAGCAAACTCTGTATCATGCAAGTGATGGACACACAGCAGACTTCACTTGCTAAGCAGAACGAATACACAGTAAGTACTGAAGGGGAGGGCCAGACAGGCAGTGGGTGTGTCCCAGGTGGGTGGGCGTGGCTGGGGTCTCCAGCCCTCTTGGCTGTTTTTGTTTTTTTTTAATATTTATTTATTATGTATACAATGTTCTGTCTGTGTGTATGCCTGAAGGCCAGAAGAGGGCACCAGACCTCACTACAGATGGTTATGAGCCACCATGTGGTTGCTGGGAATTGAACTCAGGACCTTTGGAAGAGCAGGCAATGCTCTTAACCACTGAGGCATCTCTCCAGCCCCCTCTTGGCTGTTTTTGTATTTTATTGTTAGGATGAACGTGTCTTACTCCTTTGACCCAGAAATAGCTTTTGTAAATTTTATTTTTTCTGTTGTAAAGTTTAAAACTGAAATTATTTCACAGGATATTTTCTATTTCATATCTACAGAAGCACAAAGGCAGCCGGTGCTCAGAAACCCAGAGGAGGGGAGGCAGAGGTGAAGAGAACAGTCAGAGGTGGGTGAATGAGCGCCAGGTAGGTGACCCTTTACTGACGTAGTTACCACCTCTGTAGGTAGATGTTTGCCCTCCTTGGAATCCTGGGGTCCTTAGCTTTGATCTTTGGGTTTTGATCTCTTTTAATGCTTAATAGGGGATGGGAGCAGGATAAGGTGGAGCTTTCTGTGGGGTGGAGCTGGGGAACCAGAATGAGGTTAGCTTGTGGGCTTCAGATGGGCTGGGGCAGACGCTTGAGGGCCAAGGCAGTCTTGTCCACAGTTTCCGTGGGGTCCTCTCTCCCTTACTTGTTCCACAAAGCCGAGGGCCTGCCCCAGGACAGTGTGATAGGTATCAGATGTAGGTCGCAGAACTGACAACAGAATAGACCTACCTGGATGGGTAAGCCCCACAGGAGAGAGTGGATTTTTATGCCCAGGTGATGCCTCTGCCGGCAGGCGCGTTCACCCAAGCAGACCAGCGATGCTGCATCACACCTGGTGTGAACAGCACAGTGGCTGTGATTGAATACAGGTCTAGCTTGTCAGTGTCTCCTAAGTAGGGTGTCATTCTAGAGCACACGTAGCTTTTTGGAACAGGGACGGGGGATTCCCTGGGTCTCCATCAGGGCAGCCTCAGCAAGTGCAGGCCAAGTGCTGTCTAGGAGGGCTCTCGGGGCTCCAGCTTGCTGACAATCTTCTGCTGAATCTTTCTCAGCACCTCCTGGTACTGGGGGTAGTCTTCCTGCACTTGGGAGAGGACGGCGTTGAACTGGGCCAGCCGGACATCTAAACGCTTGCGCTCCATCAGCAGGCTCTTGCTGCTGCGATGCAGGAGCACGTACTTCCCTTCCACTACAGCCTGCAGGTACTTTGCCCGTGTCTGCAGGGTCACGATCTCCAAAAGGTTCTGGGTGGGAAAGAGACCCCGCGTCAGTCCCCACAAGTCAAGAGGACTCCTGTCCTCCACCCAGTCTCCGGGGACTCAAGGGGAGGGGTCTTGCGTCCCAGATGGGAGCCTTGCTCGCCCATGGGGGAGGTGTTTCCACTGCTCTATGCCAGGCCTGGTACTAGACATACTCCTGACACCCTGCATTCCTGTTAGACTCACAGCACAGCCGGTCCAGCTGGAAATCCCACTGGGATTCAGGTTTGCTGTGCCCCTGAGTCTACCATGTGGCCCCAGAACCTGGCGGGGGATCCCTTTGGTTCCAGGTGCCCCTCAGCCCTAGTGCTTTACACTGTCCCCCGGGGTCAAGACTTGGTACAGTTTGGGCAGGCCCCTCTTGGCCAGGCTACCCTGTCTACCTGAACGGCTTCTTCTTCTCCCACCTCCATGAAGTCTTTATTTTTTTAAATCTTTTTTTTTTTTTACATTTTATTTATTTATTATGTATACAATATTCTGTTTGCGTGTATGTCTGCTGGCCAGAAGAGGGCACCAGATCTCATTACAGATGGTTGTGAGCCACCATGTGGTTGCTGGGAATTGAACTCAGAACCTTTGGAAGAGCAGGCAAAGCTCTTAACCACTGAGCCATCTCTCCAGCCCCTCCATGAAGTCTTGACTCAAACATGTTTCTCTTTTCTCCCTCCCTCTCTTCCTGCCTTCCATTCTTTTTTGAGACGGGGTTTCCCCGTGTAACAGCCCTAGCTGTCATGGAACTAGCTCTGTAGACTCAAACACATTTCTTACATAGCCTTCTTGGATTTCTCCTCTCAAAAACTCAACCCCTTGATTTTACTCGGAGGCCCTGACATCTTCCATCTTCGTGGAGCAAGAATTTAACCTTCAATACAGCCAGAGATTTTGTTTCTAGTCATTTGCCCAGGCATCTGAAATGGTGCCCAGCCAATAACGGGTAGAGATCAAAATGTATGGTGTGACCAAATCGCAAGGGATGTAAACGAGAGCAGTTGGTGTCACTGCCAGCAGAAGATGTAGCTGGTCCCCGGGGAGATTGTCATCGGGGACACAAGGCTTCTCTTGGGGTTCAGGCCCAGAGAGCTCCCAAGATTTACCTGCCGTTTCAGAGCTGTGAGCTTGTTGATCTCATCTTCCAGAACGTCTATGTCACCCTGCATATCTGACAGGGACTGCTGCTTCTCCTGAAGGGAGCTGCTTAGGAGTTTTTGAGATTCTTCCAGTTCTGAGATGGTCTTGATGCATTCCTCTGTGGCCTGGGAGAGAAAAAGGACACAATGGATTCCTGCATCCCTGTCATTTAGCAGACGGAGACATCCAACTAAAGACCAGCCACGTGCCTCGGAATTTATTCTAGGGGGATTCCTGCATCAGTTACGTTTCTATTGCTGTGATAAAAACGTCATGGTCAAGGCGACTTAGAGAAGGAAGGATTTGTCTGGGCTAACAGTTCCCGAGGGATCAGAGCCCACGGTGGCAGAGCAGAGGCGTGGTGGCTGGCGCAGAAAGCTGAGGGCTCACATCTTCAGACCACAAAAGCAAAGCAGAGAGAGTGAGCTAGAAATGGTACAAGTCTTTTAACCTCTCAAAGCCCGCCACCATGGACACTTCCTTTAGCAAGGCCATGCCTCCTAAACATGCCCAAACGGTGCCACCAACTGGGGACCGAGTATTCTCTGGGGACATGTTAGTGACCAGCTTGGACAAAAATACCACTTACCAGGGTAGGGGTCTGGGATTAGAAAAGTTAGTAAAGAGGACTAAGACGTGAGTGAAAATAATAAAACAGAAACATAGGATA